GGCACTGGGATCAGTGATCTGTCTGGGACTCAGGGATCAGTGTCAGGCACTGGGATCAGGGATCTGTCTGGGACTCAGGGATCAGTGCCAGGCACTGGGATCAGGGATCTGGCTGGGACTCAAGGATCAGAGACCAAGGTTAAGCGCTGAGATCAGGGATTTGTTTGAGGACGTGGGAACTGGGAATGGAGGACTCAGCTGAGGATTTAGAAACCAGGATAAAAGACTGGTATCAGGTACCTTCTGAAGACACAGGCTAGCTGGGATTAGGGATTAGGGATCAGGATGCAGGTCTGGGCTCAATGTCTGGGACTGGGTTTTAGGCACCAGGGAACTGTCTTAGGCACCAACTAATGCTTCCTAATTTGACAGGGGGTTCTGGAACTGGAATTGAAATCTCAATAGAATAACAATAGCTATGCTCACAATCAGTGTCTCACTCCCTTCTCTTTCTCTCTCAGTCCCTCATTTGTTTTCACTTTCTCTCTGAAGAAAGCTGGGCAGAGATTGGACACAATGGAGAGACATCGATAATGTGTTGGGGTACAGATTGATGGAGCATGGGAAAAACTGGCAGGGAGAATGTGGAAATACCAGAGCTGGAAAGGCAAGGATACATATGTAAAGGTTAAGAAAGTATGCCAGGCTGTGTCATGGTGTGACAGTGATAGACTTTGTGGGAGAGTGAGTCAGAGCAGGAAGGCAATGACAAAGTGAGAAGTGAAGGATCTGTAACACGGGGGTGGAAAAGAAGAGCATCTTAATAGTTTATGTTTGAAGGAAGGGTACCAAGTTTCTATCCTTCTAATTAATTTATTGCAGTCTACAATTGAATATCTTTGTAGTTCTATTTATAACGGCACAGTGTACAAATGTCCAGGAATAGATATAAAAATCATCTCCTGGCCTTGGGCATTGTATTATCTCACCCAGTTGCACTGTGAACAATTGATGTGCTTTTCAAGGAAAATAAGTTACTTAATGGCGATCTATAGGAAGCTAAATTAAATTAACAGCCCAGTATTGCACCGGCTGTGCTCTGCTTCTGTTAACATTTGTAAATTAAAACGACTCAACCATTTAAGGTAGTGGGATTCTAAACTGGTCAATAAACCCACGGATGCATTGACTTCAGATTCTGCTGAAGGCTGCATGTTGAGCAGGCTAACACAGTTAATCTAATCACAAGGGAATGTACACACACATGGTCCCAGGAAAACATCTCAAAACAACCTGTCATTTGTAAATTGTCTGGAACTAGTAAAAATGCAAAACTGTTAATCTCGTTATCGCATATAATTTTTAAAAAAATTATATCATTACACATGTTTATTTCACAGCCCTTGCAATTTTTCATTTCTAAATTATAAAATATATTCAAAAGTATTCTGGAAACATGACATATAAATAAAGAAAACATTGAAAATGCACAAGAGATCAATCAGCATCTGAAAGACTTGCTAATGTTTTCAAGTGGTGTCTTACATTATTAAGATCAAATATTTCTCCAGGATTCCCTGACGCAAGTTAGTTTTTGGAATATCTGCCTGCTGCATTTTTTTTTTAAATTGTTATTCCAGAATATAGAAATCAAACTTGCTGATCTTTCACACCAAAATTGTCTGGTGAATCTATGGTGCCTACCAATTCCTGCTGGTTTTAAACATCTTTACAATGGTTGTACCATTTCAGTTCCAGGTAAAAGCTTAGAAATGGCACTGTTTATGGAAGGCAATCTATCACAACTTAACAAGAAAATCCATGGTGT